CGCAAGCAGCGGGAGGGCTCGAGGGAGGCGCGAGCAGCAGGAAGGCTCGCGGGAGGGCTCGCAGGAGGCGCGAGCAGCGAGAGGGCTCGCGGGAGGCGCGAGCAGCGGGAGGGCTCGAGGGAAGCGCGAGCAGCGGGAAGGCTCGTGGGAGGCGCGAGCAGCGAGAGGGCTCGCGGGAGGCGCGAGCAGCGGGAAGGCTCGCGGGAGGCGCGAACAGCGACAGCGGGAGCAGGAGCGACGAGCAGCGAGATCGCGATCGGCAACGGCAGCAGGTTAGGGTTGGGTAAGGGTTAGGGTAGGGGTTATATCGGTTTAGTTGGTTCGATTGAACCAACTAACAACCGAACCAGGACCGAACCAGACCTAAAATTCTGGTTCGGTCGCCTTGGTTTACCCAGGCGCTCGCCCGAAGCGCTCAACGCCTAGGCTCGGGCGAGCGCCCAGGCGGCGCCTGTTTGAAGCGCGCCGCCTAGGACATTAGCGAGGCGCTCGGGCCTCGCCTCGCCTCGCCCGAGCGCCTAGGCGAGCGCCCGAGCGCCTTTTTCAATCACTATCATAGTTCATCTTAAATAAGATCATGAGTCTTAACCTCTGATTCCTAAGATATCACCATCTCATGGCATGTCATACTGGCTAGAAATATACACAATCTATAAAGGCTTAAGATACACACTCACTAACTCCTAAGCCTATATTTCATGCCATAATAATCATCAATGATAATCTAGAATTAATTTGTCTATTACTTGCATATATTGATCACTTGATGGCATAACAATAATGTCTAGAGCAAGGTCTGCAATTTCATACTGTACCGGAGTTTCGACGTTCGCTCAGTACGATACGAAACTATATACCGAGCGATATACCACTCGGTGTATATATATATATATATATATGTCGTCAAATGCCACCTCTTTCTAAAATATTTATATATAAATATAAATAAATAAATATTATTTTATTAATTTTTTTCGTTTTGCTCGGTAGCGAGCGGTCTGCGTACCGGTATGCCATCGGACCGATACGTACCGCCCGGTCCGCGTACCGGTATGCCGTCGAACCGGTACGTACCGCCCGTACCGAGCGGTATCATTCGGTATTACCTACCTTGGTCTAGAGTACCTTTTTTTAGAGCACATGATAGCCCCACAAAAAGACATCTTGAAGAGAGAGTCCACTCAAAGCATTTAGATAATCAAACTCAATATCAAACCAAATCAAACCAATTAAAATAAATAAGCCACAACAAAGTGCCAAGAAATCTTAAGTAGAGAGATACGCTAAAACAAAGAAATTCATCATCAGACAATTGTGTGATGCTAGATGAACAAAGCAAACTGCATAACCAAAGGTGACATGCCCAAGTGTCGGAGAAGTGATTGTTTATCTTTGGTGACCAAATCATAGAAACATTGTCCGTACTACATTAAAAGACATGCACAAAGACCATGGGAAGATGGATCTATGCATATAATTTGGGAGAGTTGCACTGGATGGGAGGTTAGACCAAGTCAAATCTGATGTCTACTCAGTAAGACAAAAGGATTCAAACTAAATTTCAGACTAAAGTATGACATGAGATATTATTGAGCTAAGTTGAGTCAAGTTGGGTTAGTCAAGTAAAAGGAAGAACTCACAAGTTAACCAGTAAATATGCAGCTAAATGGTTCTTAATGGTGATTGAGTGCACAGGTCAAAATCATGCTGAGATCCTTTGGTTTTGCAAAGAACAAAGGACAGCAGACATAGACTGAGTCACTGAAATGCTGTAAGAAGGATCACAAGTTGATCTATTTCATATTAGTGAAGAGACTTGTGAAAGGGAGGAAAGAGAGATCATACAGGTGAAAGAAGATAAAACTCTTCAACCGAGTATAACTGGACAACCACAACCATAGAATTTATAGCAGTGACCATAGAAATGGTGCAACAAAAATCCAGCTGGCAAGGAACAGGAGCGGAATTCAATTTGGTGCAACAAGTGCTATGAGAGATAGAGACAAGATAGGCAGAACCTGTATGAATTATAGGATTGTGAAAGATCAGTCATACTCGAGAAATATAGAGCATCAAAATTAAATTGCTATAAAAATGGTAATCACAGATGTACAACACTTCCCTTGGAAGTGGACAAGTGGTTGCTTGATAGCTCAGCCCAGTACTACAAGTTTGACAAATCAGATGTTATGAGATGAAGATCAGCAGGTCCACTCAGGATCAAGCTAAGTTCAGTTGGTTACCTGAGTTGCAACCCTTATGGGCTTAACTCTTAAGAAGTTTAGATAAAATCAAAATTCAAGACAAGATACTAAATTTTGCATACCAGGCCTCATACACATAAACAGGATTCATACACAATGAACCTTTGCCAATCTCAAAACGAGATAAAAATTCAACATATAACAGAGAATAAGTCATTAACTCATGATAAAGGCAATGACAATTGAAAATATATGAAGATACTCAGCACTGAAATTTTAGATGCATAACATTATCACAAGCAAGGTTAGGTTATACAGTTTTTTCAAGGGTAAAAGAACATGCAATCGTACTTAGGTGAAATGGAATCAGAGAAATGTCTGTATCAGTATCTAAATTGTTTCAGTCTCAATGAAAATAACAAGGAACAGAAACAAATATAGATATATGTGAACAGTGAAATCTGTTCCATTATGTCAGAGCCTATGACAAAGGAGATCATTTTTATAAAGCTTATCATGCAACTATCATACAAATCACATGTTCCTAAGGAACTAATATACAAATCTTCTTATCAATAAATGAATATCGTTATAGTTCAGAAATCTTTGCATCAGTAACTGTACAAAAGTATAACATAACATTTTCCAAAAATTTGCATTTGTTTTGAAACAAACTATGGATGACATGAATAAGATCACTCACATATTACAGCTGGTTTGCAAATCTTGGTGTGAAACTCCAGCAGTATTATTTTCAGTTACAGTTGCTTGATATTTCTGAGCAACTTGCAATAGTTGGTTAACCTGAAAAAGATTGCGTTAAACAGTTAGAATATACTATATACAACAGTGCCTTAACCGAATGAAGCAACATCAAGTAGAAACTGCAAGTAACCTTGCAGCAACCCACGTGGCAAAGCAACCTTAGAAAACTAAGAAAAGTTGGCTCATAATGCTGAAATGTGGCCAATGAAATGGTCACCAATGGTTTAAACTTCTGGTAACTGGGCCTATACTGGTCATTGCCTGGACTGCAATGAGTCTCGGTGTACTAGCATAATGATAATTTTGAAATATGGTATGCCAGCATAATGGGACCAGATTCCAAAAGGACTAGGAAAAAGCACTTTCTCAGAAATATCAACTAATTAATTAAACCATGATAATTTTGAAATATAAATGGTTCAAAATATAAACAGATGAAATCATGCAACATCATGAGCAAGCCATAGTTTTTCTTGCTTTAGTTTTTCTCTTAAAAAATTTAGAAACTGCCAAGAACAAATATATTTGAAAGTAAACCAAATACCTGCGGAGCTAACAGTCTACGAGGAAGAAACTCTTCATGTCGTCGAGTACAAAATTCCCAAAGTAATATCTGAAATATAAACCCAAAATATGTATAATTCCATAACCAAAAACTGAATAAATATAACCAAATATGCAAACTTCCAGTTTCAAGAAAAAAAGACACTAGTCCATTCAATTTGGAACCTTCAGTTCTGGTGTAAATATTATTCGGAGCTGTCCCTCTCGTACAATATGTAGATGTTCATAAACACTTTCTTGAACAGCTTTTTCATACTCCAATACCATAATTCCAGAAGATAATCGGGACTCATGGGGCATGTCAAGAAATAAGTTTTCATCAATAACGCCATGGTCAAATTTAATTTGAAAAAGCCGAGGAAGTACATCAAAAGTAGCCTCTGCCAAAGAACATAAAGGATATCATTGGGCAAGAACTTAGCAAATACATGATAGTAATTAGATTTTAATGATTTTGCAAAATATTTCCAATGCCAGTTCGTTATCAGATATATAAAGTTTCTACATATACTATTCATAGAACACGCATTTGTGTGTGCTAAACTATAATTTTGAGAATAATTTTTTATAAGTCAAATTTCTAGTAGCAGCCAATAGGAGATAGAAAAGGTTACAATAAAAAGTGCAGATATCCTAAATGTGAATGTCACAACAATAACAGGATCAATCCAGCATTGCTGCAACAAAGAAACTATTGGCATTCAGATTTGCCGTGGACTAAGGTCGGTGTCTTAATAGAAGTAGGAGCACCAAAATACATGTGTAAATGATACAGAAATATAAAAATGAAGGCTGCTCTTATACCAGAAAATTGTATTATTAACTTTTAGAATCAACACTTAATAGATTAATAAGCAATGTATGAAAAGACAAGAGAAGTGAGTTCTAGCAGGAATATGTCCTAGAATATCATTTTGGAGATAGGTATAGAGAAGCTGAATAAACTCGACATGATTTTCAAAACAATGCAATTTTTTTATATACAAAATTCATTTACTTAAGACATCAACTACTATCTTGTTTAACATCATTATATTTTCTGGTACAGTTGACCAAATAGTCTTCCACAACATGGCAGCTTGAATCAAACTTGCTTCACAATAATGCAAGGTTAAAGACTAATAAGGATGCCTATGAAATCCACACCTTGCCATAATTCAGTATAATTTAGATTTCCCCTGGTACTATAATTGTATTACCTCACACCATTAGAAAATACATGCTTCAGATATGTATTACTGTCAACAGAGGATACCTGCCGATCCATTAAATTGGCAATTCTAGTGCCTGGCTTACTCACTGTCTACAACAAATTTTAATGATCATTTTTTAGAGCAACAATTTCTCTTTCTACTATACTACTGAGAAAGACATGTTATGTGTATGGTCAGCATTGCATACCATAAGTCCACAACCAATGATATCACATAAAGAAGCAAGCAATAGAATGGACTACCTTTCACATAGAAGAAAAATGATCGTGACAAAGCATGTTTACTGATAAGTATATAAATTCAATGGAATGAACAAAGTCTCTCACAGATGAGTAAATTTTGCAGATGGGTAAATTTCACAGTGAAAGAAACTACCCTATTAACAGAATCAATAAAGATGCCTCTACTAACCAAATCCTTTTCCTGATTTAGAACCACAGAAACCGCACTGCCATGCATCCTGCAACAAGCAAAGAATGCACAATGAACATAAATTAAAAGAAACAATGGGAAGATAGCCTTGTTATGCTAATACAAAAGAAAAAAAAGGCCTCTATATATTTTCTTTGGAAAAATGATTTGGTTTCATGTTATTTTTAAGTTACAGACGATAATATATTCTTCAGAGATGGGAATTCATCCCATTGAGCATAGTTGAACAGTTGAACAAAATCAAATAACCACTAGGTGCAAATATCTTAAATAACCATTGAAAGATAGCCCAATTAACCAATATTGGTTTGTGTCTGCGCTACCTCCTGAGAACACCTAAACAAGTTAGCATTAACAAGTTACTGCAATCAGGGAGCTTGAGTTTCCAGTGAGAAAATTTCGGTTCTTAACTTGGGGGAGAATGAGTTTCACAAAGTATGAGAGACCTTATATAACTGAATCAATGTTCTATTCCTACTTCAGTAGAAAGCAATCAGAATCAGTACGGCCAACACTAGTTTTGTATCACCTTCTAATTTCCAACCTAGTGTTGCATGGTATAACTTGCACCAAACATTCATCACATTTCTTGATGAATTAAAAGGCATGAAGGCATATATGTGGCGTTCGTCACCCACTTAGATGAATATGCATTTATTGATTCTGCTCTAATTCTCATGCAGGATGTCAAAGTACTGAACAATGAACCCAAAAACAAGCATTAAATTGAGAAAACACGATATACAAGAAACATTTACCACAGCCAACTGGGGGAAAACACCAAGTGTATTGTTGGCCATATTATCATACAAGGACAAACACCATCTTTTCCTAGCTCGTACTGCAAAATATTCAGCTACGAACTTCCTCCAGTACAATATGGAATTATCCTACAAAAAGAATGATATTAGGACACCGCACGAAATGCGAGACTGATATGTGGGTAAATTCTGTAACCAGATTGCAGTGAAATTTAAGAAAAAAACAACTCACAGGTGGCCGATGACGTTGGTGAAATAAATATTGCATAAGCCTGCGAGAACATATTCCATTATCAAGAGGCCGCTTAATGAGAGTAGCCGATTGAATAGACTGTGGCTGCAGATGGTGTCTCAGCTGTTGTTGCTGCTGCAAGGTGATAGGACCTTGTTGCAACTGAGAAAGGGACTGCATTATCTGCTGCTGATGCTGCTGACGCTGCATTAGTCTCTGCTGTTGCAAAATGGTTTGCAACTGCGGGTTTTGCTGAACTTGTGGATGCATTCCATCATGTCTCTGCAAAAGTTGTTGGATCAACTGCTGCTGCAGCACATCCTCATGCTTTACACCAAGCCGCGGTTTCTTCTGGGCATTCATTAAATTGTTGGGTTCCTGTTGCACTAGCTGAGATGTTGCTGTTGACAGCCCTTGCTTCTGCACCTGTTCTTGGAGTGAGCTCTGTTGCACAATGGAGCAACCGTCCATCACCGAAGAACCAGAGAAGTTGGAGGAGAAAGAAATGGGTGAGGCAGGAAGACCCATATATGACTCGTTGTTGAAGCTGGTGCTTTTTTGCAACTGAGGACCGCCAGAGAGCCCTGAGTTGGCATCTGTAACGAGGGAGCTCGCACCGACGCTTGGGCCAGAAGAGTTCCCTACGCTGTTTAGTATCTGGTTCATCTCACCAGAGGCAAGCCTGAGACCAGACCGATCGTTCCCTGACATGGGGATCACAGGGGCTGAGTTCTGGCCCCCATCGCTCTGGAAGAAAAATACCAAAGGCGGGGAAAGATTGCCTCCAGACTTCGCCTCCTTTAGCGTGACGCACTGTGCCCCAACTGACGGCTGGAATCCTGGTACCTATACAGCGCCAGCCCTCTCTTAAACAGCCCTCGACAGGGGAAATTTACACCGAATCATCGCAGATTCAACAAAAGCTACGCCTTTTTGGATCCAATTGCATCCTCAAATTAGAAGATCGAACTCGGAAGAGGTCTCCCTCATCACTGATAACTCCGTTACGACGATCAAATCAAATGTCTCCCTCGTCACTGACAAGAAAAACCACACTAATAAGGCAATAATCCTAAAATACACCCTAATTAATGCATGATAAGACCACAATAAGAGAAAGGTAAGCCCTAATTTCTCGCCGATGACTGGAAGTGGTAAGAAAGAAACCCAACTGGTTCCGGAAGCACCCGATCACACAACCATCAAACACAGTTCAACTCTAACAAACTGCAAAAGTGGACATTTACAATCGAAAACCAAAGGATCGACGCGTTTGAAGAAAAATCGAAGAACGAATGGAAAATCTCGAAAACAAACCAAAAAGCCAGAAAGCAAATCGACGAGCCGGCAAAGCAGCTCATCCTACCCGAATCGACACACAAGAAGAATATAAAGGGCAGCAGCGATCGACAGAGACGACGCGTTTGGTTCTCTCCTTCATCGCTCCGGATCTTTCTCCTTTCGTCACAGCGGCGCCGTCCGACGAGCGGGTACTTTTATAGGTCAGGGAACTCGAAGGGGGTGGTGACCGGCTGCAACCGACTCAGCGGCTATCGCTTACCGGCTTTGACAGGTCGACGAGACACTTACGTGGCGCTCCTCATCACCGTCTATTCTCCCAGTCACGAATCACAATGCCTCCGCGACTTGTATGCTACGTGTCCTGACACGTCGAGTTAAATGATTGGACTAGACGTGGGTTTCTAAATCTCGGGTGGGCAACCGGGAAACCGGTACTTTTATGTGTCGCAGGAAGTCGAAAGGACGTTGGTGACCGCCTACAACCCGCATCGACAGCAATGCCTTTGTTGACACCACGCTTACGTCGCCCCCATCAATATCGTCCGTTCTGCCCATCACGAATCCCGAGGCCAGCGCGTCATGCCGCCCCATCCGTGTTGACACGCGGTGTAGAATTATTGGCCCACGGCGGTTCTCCAAACTTCGGATGCGTACCTGGGAAGCGAAACGACTGGGAAACCTGAAACTTCCGTACACCTATTGCCTACCCCATTTATATATTGGTGGGGTCCATTATAGATCATAGAATGAGTGGTTAGAAAATGTGGTGAGGTTTCGAGGAAGCTTGTAGACACGAGTCAATCGATGCAATAGACTCACTATGCCATGTATATCTGCTGTTCCATAGTGTACAGGTAATAAATAGTGTTTACTTTATTGGTCGTGCAATTGGCTTTTACTTTATTATTAATCTAATAATGATGTATATGTTCCATTCACAAAATGTTAAGATTTATCTTATAAGTATATTAGCCTGAAGTTGATATAGTATAATCACATAAATAATTAAGAATTAAAAACCCTATTTAATAAATTTGAAGAGAGCAATTCTCATCTTTGTTATTTATTCTTTAAACAAATAAAATATATATATATGACCCAAATAAAAAATAAAAAGATGATCGTTAAAACAAACTCATATTTTTATTAAAATAACAAAAACAAAATGTTTCCAAATTACCAATGCTTGCAGTCATCACGACTGATGCTGACATCTTTTTTTTTCTTATGCACATAAATAAGTTAATTATAATCACAATTGTAAATACTGAACATTTGTACCTACCATCAACAACCATTGAATATACGAATAATAAATAAAAATACACTGTGCATGTACCAGCATTAGATGATGATATGTTTTGATGGGGGTACTTGGTTGAACCAAAAAAATACCAGTTAGAACCCACAGATCCAACTGGAATCCAAACTTTCGTTGTCATATTTTTAATTGACAAACCAGAGTTTTGCATCGTTTAAACATATGCACAGACATTGTATTATGGCTAGTAATATGGCATGACAAGATTAACTGAGTATGAAAAGCTTCAGCTCACCAATTGAGAGTGATTTTTTTTTTTTTTCACCATGAGGTTTGACGTTCATGGGTGCTGAAATGTGTTAATCAATTGTTCATATAAAATCCAGAGTATGAAGCCTAGAAGAGTATCTCTAACTAAACTCTCGAGGAAATTAGAAAGCCATCCAGAGTTGCTCTCACCTGATGTCTTGCCGACAAGGTCGCGGAACCGCAAGTCACCCAGATCAGATATCAATGCATAGACCACCCCATTCATGTGAGCTTTTCCAATGACCCCGAGAACTTTCTTACTCTTATTCACAGCTTTGCTCCTTTTCAGAGACCACGCAAGATACTGAAAGCACCCACAAAACAAAAAAGATAATTCAGTTTAAGAAATTTTTTTTATTAAAATAAAAGAGAAGCTATCACTCACCTATAACCCACAGCCTCTTCAAGAAGAAGCGGAACCAACCGCTAAGCCAATGCCTCGGTTGTTCATTTTATGAATTTGCATGGCCAAGCATTATGACAACACAAGGAGCTAGATGAAGATTTAACAGAACTATATTTTGACCTCCTACTCTTAAATTATATAACCAGAGGTACCTCTAGAAAGGCTCAAACCCAGCGCTTCGGAGAATCAATCACAAGGCAACAGCCTAGTTGGTTCAGTTTAAGATTTTGTATAGTCAAGCATTATGACAGGGCAAGGAACTCGATATGGTTTAATCCAAAGATCATGAAAGGGAAAAATCATTAGAATTGTGTTTGAAGTATCAATATTAACAAAGCTACATTTGACTTTGTATTCGTAAATAGAGGACCATGATTTAACAATATTGGTTTGTTCACTTGATCAAGTTTGATTTTAGTTTAAAAAAGTTGTTATGTGGTTTAGGAAACATACCGTATCACGCTCATGTATGAGAGGCTGCAAGAGTGAAGGATATGAGACACTTAAAGACTCATACAGCTTATAAGGGCTGCCATCCATTTCCTGATCCTGCAATGTAAATGAAATTAAAAAAGTAACTCAATGATAAATCTATAATCAGAGAGCCACATCTAGAGTCTTCCAAAATGAAACGCATCATTCCCTAAGATGCAAACATATTTAGTTGTTAACAAAATCAAAATAATATTGTCACCTATTCGGAGAATGTATAATGGATACTCCACTTTATCTCAAGAAGCATCCATTATTATGTTAAGGAGTTTTAGTCTTCATGTTTAAATTGAAAAAAATATATGATTATTTCTTATTTTGTCCACAATGAAGTCACAATCGTAGTAAGAATTACTTAGCCAGTCTCTATTGGATTATTAAGGGTTCTGTGTTTTCTTAACTGGCATGCCTCATTTTCATTTTTTCACATCTTCTGGTCCTCACTTTTCCATCCCATCTTGAAACTGTAGTTACCTTTAGTTATATTTTACATCAATTTGCTGCCTTCAATTTGCCATAAATTTTAAACCAGATGACAGCATACATCTGAGCCCACCATGTAGCTCCATCTTGAATCATATCCCATTGATATCATAAATTTTCATATTAGAAGATAAGGAAGGAATGAACTACATGATTAATTACAAATAACTTCAAGTATTTTAAGCCTTCATGGCTATATGCCAACTTGGTACAAATTATTACGTCAGAAGATAACTAGGAGATGACAGAAGGTTGAATTTTACACATGATTTGATTGGTCCACAGTTCATAACTCAGGAATAAGCAAGTTGGCCCAATATCAACAGTCACAGTATTCAATAACCATTATTATTTTTACATTTTCTAGGAATACAAATCATCAAAATCAAGTTCCTCCCTGCATCAATAGTAGATTCCTGAATATGTTGCTTGCTGATTGTGCATCACCTTGACTCATAGAGGTTGCGAGTCATTAACTTATAAAAGTACATGTGATAAGACATGAAACAAAGGAATGTTTGCAATAAAACACTAAATGCCATTTTGGATCAAGCATGGAGCTATCAATGGAGAAACCTATGATAATCCGGATTAGTTGGTACCATATTCACATAAATGATTTATGTAAGCCCAAAAAAGAACAAAAGTAAAATAAAAAAGGTTGTTTTGCTCAAGGATTGGTATTACAAGAATCAAGCACGATCAGTACACCTGATAAAAACGAGAATACAAAACCTTGTATTTGATACTTGCAAAACTTGAATGGAAAAACACAAACAAATAAGACAACTATCAGAATTGTAGAAAATACTATGAAAACCAAAACCAAGATGAATAACAAAAAGGCAAGTATTTCATTGCAGGCTACTATGACAATCCAATGACATAACAATGAACATTTCATGCAACAGGTATGTGAAGAACCTTCATATTACTTTCTGGCAGTTCAGATGATGAAGAAGATATCCCACGAAAAAGTGAGAGAACCAATCTCACTTTTTCACTCCATGTAAGAGAACTCCAGGCCCTTTCAAGCTGAAAAGGAAAAAATCTAATGTAATTTATCAAAAACATATCAGGAAGTTATGTCTCATTTCATGATTGATCAGCTACATACAGTTATTTCAATTGGGCGATCTCCCAGAACAATTTGAACTCCAAGCTCCTCAGAAACTTTCCGAGCAGCACGGAACTACAGAAATGATATAAAGGGAAAATTTTAATTCTAGAAAATATGTTATTAACACTTTATCAGGAAGCGTCAACTTCTACTACCTCATCTCCAAAAGATCGATTTGCATCAGAAGATATTTTGGAAGAAAAAACAGCTAGCAGCAAACGCAAAGCAAGAGCACTTTGTCCACCTGTGGTTGCAAGCCATGTCACTACCACCTCTTCTCTTAACTGTACAGAAGCATTTTATGTTTTATGTGGAGCAAACTACAGTTTTGCATGCATAAAACACTGACCCAAATTTATGCTGCGGTTGATGGCTCCAAAGAACTTAGCCCCACTGAGGGAAAACATGTTTAATTTTAGAGAGGGAACATCCTCAGCAGAGGTGGAAGCATACATTATTCCGGCTCTGAAAGTTGTCTGCAAACACACAGTTAGCCAACAAAAAGAAGACTCAATTTCCATGCAGAAACAACAATGACTTATCTATTGCAATTATTCCATTCTATTGTCTTCTCATCATGATAATTCATTAAAGTAGATTGGTACAATAGCAAATTTGACATATTTTTTGGATGCCACATGTTCTTTTATCATTCATGCCCCTTACAAGTGATCTTTAAGACCGTGAATGCAACATTCTGGGATGTTCTAAGTCCAGATCCAGTAGCTGCATCCTGATATATGTCACTCCTTTGGTTACTAATGGTTATAAATGCAGTTATTTAAGAATAGTTTTGATACATAGCAGGAGCTACAGATTGCATATTTATTATTAAAAGATCTCATACATATCCATTCAAAAGTGAGAAGAATTAATCAAATAACCATTTTCATATTAATTTAGGCAATTTGGTCGCTTGCAACTAGAGATGCCCACAAGCAGAAGTTGCAAGTTTAGCTATTCAAACGTTTACACTTATAATTGTTATTTGCATATGCAACTAAAGTAGAGAAGGAAGCGTTGATGTGCAAACCAAGGTAGCGTAATAGGAGGACAACGTGTGAGGAACCAACATGTGAGATGAGAAACAGTATCTAAACCTAGTTTTGACTTGCAATCCA